GGTACAAGAAGATAACGTATATTTCGGATAACAAAACTACAATAAATACATGTATTAAAAAAAATAGAAATACCTAAGTCTTTAGAAAACAAAAAGGCTAAAACATGAATCTTTGAATTGAAGAAAGTAATGAGAAATAAATATGAAACGGAAAGATCAATAAAATTAAAAATCGAACAAGGATTGTGTATGCTAGGATTACAGACAGTGCCTTGTGGATGAAAATGGTGGGAGCATGTGACTTAGATTGATAATTAGATTTTCATTAGTTTGATAAAAATAAATATTTAAACAAGGAATACGGGTATCCCATATAAATATTTTACCAAGTTTCTTATAATAAACATTGGCAAATGATTATGTTTTAAAAATAAACGATTACGGGACAGAAATTTTATGACAGATAGAAGACGGGACGGGACGGGACGGGGTGGGACGGGACGGGGTGGGACGGGACGGTTCAGGACAAGACAGAAAGGGACAGGACGGGTTTTCCATTCTAAACTACACATAAAACAGTTCAAACTAAAGCCATACCCAAATCCGATTTAACATCTCTAAGCAAACAGTGAAATATTTTGATTAGTTTAAAAAATAAACAATGAATATCATTTATCATTTCCATATAAATAATTTTAAAATTGTATTATGTAATACAATATCTATATTTTACAATTGTGTCTCTATATATAGTTTATCAAATAAACTCATATAACAAAATTTTACCAAAATAGAATCTATTTAACAAATCGTGATTTTGTAAAAATAATATGTCCGGGTCCATCACTAGTATATTTATAAGGTTAGACACGTATTTGGATAAATTCATATGTTTTTAGTGACTCTTTTGGTAAAATTAGAAAATGGATATATTTGAAAAAGGATACTTTAAATATTTTTCTATATTTTTTTTTATCGATTGAGTAATTTACGTCTGCTTGAATAAATTCGAAATGCAACATATGCGGGAACAACCTGTATTTTTTTTATACATAATTTTTATGTAAAAAATAAAATAATAAGATCATCTGAAGATAATGGACAAATCTTTCTTATTATATAAATCTTGTTTTTCAAAGTCACCAATTAACAAGATCGTGACATGTGTTAATTATAAACGATAGGATGTTGACACGTGTCGATTGTAACTTTGTTAATATTTAGATAAAAATATATAGAAATATTATTAATCATATCAGTAAAAAATATATATAAAATAAGTATTATAAATAGTTATATATTAAAAAAATCTTATGGAAATATTATAATTGTTAAACCGGTTTCAAAATTTGAGAAGGTTTAAGGTTTAGATTTTAATTGTTAAAACTTAGATTTTAGTTTTCAAATATTTTTATTAATAATTGCTTTTATAGTATGTTATATTTTTAAAATTTTAAATTTATGTATAAATGTAATATAATCTTATAAATGATTGGTTTATGCAAATTTTATGTGATTGACAATATAATCTAACATTACAAGATTTTTATAATTAACGTTTAATAACGAATCTTAAGTATATATAATGATATACCTATATCAGATTCTTTAGACCAAAAAGAATCTCTTTCCAAATTAAAAATTTTTGCTTATCTTTTACAAGAAAGATTTGGATAGTTATAATAAAGTTTTAATTTTAATTTTATTTTGAACAGATATCATATAACCCGTCCATCGAACGAGTACTAAACTAGTGTTTTAAAAAGTTTTGATATAAAGATAACAGGTATAGTTTTTATACCAAATTCGTAGAGATAATTTAGGAAACTAATTGATTGTTTCCATTAAAAAGGTATATTTTATTTTTCATATCTAATTTATTGTTTTTGTGCACTTTTTACGGATTAAATTTGTTAATAATTTTTTTAATAAGCATAACTACAACGGTAAAACACCAAATATACTTCAAAATTAATAATATAAATACTAAAATATAGCTTGCCAAACATTTCGAATTCAAAGCTTTGACAAGCCTCAATATGTGAATATGTAAACAAAATATCAAGTTTTCAAACGACCCAGCCCATTTTTCAACTTTTAATTCATCAATATTAACTACATAATTAATATTAACAGACAAATTCAACCAATAGGCAAACAACCAGCAAAAAAACAAAAGAAACAAATAATCCAAATCAACCGTTAAATAATTAATCGAACAAATTATTCAATAACCAAAAACCAATAATCATCCAAGACAATCCAGCAATTCGAACATGCTTCTAAATCCATGGTTCTAAAATTATTAAGCAAAATAATAACAATAAACCAAAACAACGACTCTAGATCATCGCCTTCATCTTCGCCTTCATTTCACGATCACACTTTAGCTTTACATGCATCACAGAAACAATGATATGCGTGAATATTATCACAAATATTATCACAATGATCCTCCCATCAACTGGGTTATAAACACAAGCATAGGCCAACAAACATGCGTAAAAATTAATCAAACAATCAAGCCAGGCATAAAAACACACAAACTACTCGCTGCCAAAAAATTGTTGTTGTAACGCCCTGACCGTCACCTGGAGAGGAGTAGTGGACTCACACTATCTGGGGGTGACAATTTTGGCGCACAACGAGAACGTTGCGACCAATAGTGGGGGAGAATTGTGAGATCATGGTTTGCAAAAAGGTTTAAATGAATTGATTTGGTCACATATGTCACCAAAGTACACTATCTTTTTGGTCAAAGGTTCCGAGAAAACTTCACAGTAAACATGCTTATGTTGGAGTAGTATCAGAATAGGTGACTCTGCAGGAAGTGGTGATGAACACTACTTAATTAACCTTCATATTTTACGAGATAATTTAGTGATTAATCTTTTAATTTGGATCAATCTAATGTTTTTTCCATTCAATATTAGAAAAGCCTAGTATACCAACTTTTACAACAACAACTACAAAAAAAAAAACTACATAGATGGAAAAAAATAAAATAAAATCAAATTATGTTTTTACATCAAGTTTCCCTTTAAATATTTCAACAAAGACTTGATTCCAGGACCATATAGATACATTTAAATATTTCAAAAAGATGTGACACCAGGACCAGAGTACATTTAAAGATTTTTACAAATACGTGATTTTAGGACCAGAAGAATTTAAAATATATATTTATATCGTATGCAACATATATGATATATCTCTATTTTTTGGATCTAGACTTGAATGGGAATTTGTGATCACAGTAATAAAAATATAAAAAAAGACCATTAATGATCTAGGACTTGTGGTCATAATAGAGTTAGGTTTGTGTGCCATAAAAACCAGTAGTCTTGGAGCTTTTGTTGGATATGATTCAATTCTCACGAGTTTTGTATTTAACTTAGGTGATTGTGCCGACAAAAAAAAAACTTAGGTGATTGCGGATGCTAGTAAAAGACATTAAAAATCAGGAAAACCACAACGTGGGCTAATGCCGACAAAAACACAGCAACAAACACACACACAAAAGTTCTGAGGGATGGATGAAAAAGAGTTTGATCGAAATATTAGTTTTTACCAAAATATATTATTCGAATATTGATTAAATCAAAATATAACTTTTGAGAAACACCCTTTTTCGTGTACTCATTTTTAAAAATACTTTTCTTTTTTATTCATTTTCAAAAATAATAAATTTTATCAGTATATTATATATCAAACTATGTAAACTACGGGCATTTCATGGATTGATTTGTTAAACTCACTATTATATAGTAAAGCGAGTTATAAATAATATTTTTACAAATGCAATTCTTTTTGGGTTGGTCCATCAAAAAAAATATTATGAGTATATAATTTTTACGTATATTCCTATTTTCAACTACAAAAATGTGAATTAGTTTTAGAAAAACTAGATTTTAACACGCGATATACCGCGGGAAATATTTTTAAATATATTGTTTTATTAATTTTGTTTGGTAAATAAGATTGTACTACTGTATTTTGATTGTTATATCTGACTTACCCGTTAAATATTGCATGACAATTTATTTTTTATATAATCGTAATTTGAACAACTTAATTAAATAAGTCTAATATTCGAATTATGAAAAAAACGTTGTCATAACATCTTTCTATTAAATAGTATGTTGTCGGATTAAATTATTTTGTGAGTTTTACTATAGTAGACAACCCGTAAAAACATCTAGAATCTTAATTATGTAAATTATAACATACTCCATCACATGACCCGTGCTACACAATTATCAATAATACCTTAGTACATAAAAACAATTTTGTATCAATTGAGTAATATACGTTCGTTTTCAAAATACTGATTTAGGAAATTATGTTAAATGTAATAAATACTGATTTCTAGATTTGCAATTTTATTATAATTTAATTACAAAATTTACCTTAAAGTTTATGGCAAAGGTTTATGATTGCAAATAATACAAAATAAAATGTTACTTTCCAAAAAGTACTTTAAAATGTTAATATATATATTCATTCGCTGTTATATTTTTTATTGTTTTTATTCTCTTATTGTATAAAAACTCATTATATTATCAGTTTTCAAAATTTTCTTTCTACTATTTTATCCAAACTCATTATATAAATATATGATCCACCGTAATCGATCGAATAAAATAAAAATATAAAATATTCGGTTAAAATCGTATGTATATGTAAATACTCCCTGGCGTCCTAGCGTTGTAACGCGGATCCCTAAATCAAATTTTCATTTCTAAAACAAATAGTAGTGAAAATATTATACTACATTTGTTAATTTATACAACCCTAAAAACTATATAATACAATGTGTATTATTAATCTTCCTCAATCTCTAACTATTTTTTACATATACCTTTTAACAAAAAAAAAATACTAAAACATCTAACCGCAACACAAACAATCTATTTTTTATAATGTCATTTACATTAAAAAAAAAAAAAAACTTGGTAGTTTTCCTCTGTAGCACGGGTCCAATACTAGTTCAAATATATAACTCAGGTTATCGCTAGAAAATTATAAGAAAAAGTTAGCACACAGAAGATCTGAGAGAGATGGAGGAAGAACTTAAGAGCTTGATCAAAGTATTGGTTTTTACAATCATCTCCATATCTTATTGTTACTATTTGCCACCTAGAATCAAATCAGGACTTCCTCGATTCCTCTCTGTTTTCCCCATCCTTGCTCTGTTTCTTGCTCTTCCTCTGTTTTTCTCCACTGTGCATCTCTCTTTCTTCACAGCATTTTTCCTCACATGGCTCGCTAATTTCAAACTCATTCTCTTCTCCTTTGATAAAGGTCCTCTAATCCCAGTTCCTTCAACTCTCTCCCGGTTCCTATGCTTTACTTGCTTCCCAATCAAAACCCAGCAAACCCCTAAACGTCAGACTCATTTGCCCACCATGTTGGTTTTGGCCGTTAAAGTTGCTATCTTTAGTATGCTGTTACATTTTTATGACTATAAACAAACTCTGCACCCGCTTCTACTACTAGGACTCTATTTTTTACATCTATACCTAGAGCTTGAGATCATTCTTACGTTATTCAAAGTTTTGGTTTCCATCTCTCTTGGATGCGACCTGGAGCCACAGTCTAATAAACCATACTTAGCCACGTCTCTACAAGACTTCTGGGGTCGCCGATGGAACACTATTGTGCCCACGATTCTCAAGCCAGCCGTTTACAAACCAATGCGGCAAGTCTCCGAACGGAGAATGAGCTCCGACTGGGCTCTGTATCTGGGGACCTTGGTGACGTTCACCGTCTCCGGTTTGGTTCACGACTTGCTCTTCTTCTATTTAACTCGTGAGATGCCCACTGGACAAGTTACTCTGTTCTTCATGTTACAAGGCGTTTGCCTTGCGGCGGAATTGGCTGTGAAGAAGAAGACGACGGTGACGCAACGGTGGCAGTTAAGTCCGGCGATTTCGAGGATACTCACGGTGGGGTTTGTGTTTTTGACTGGTTCTTGGTTGATGACACCTCAGCTTATAAGGAGCGGCGTGATGGAGAAGTACATCAACGAGGCTTTGTTTTTCGTTAGTTTCGTTAAGAACAAGTTTGTTTAGTCTCTTGGGGTATTAATTTGAATGTTAAACAGAAACATAAATATTGAATTGTTATCTCAAATCGTTTGTGTTGTTTTGTAACTGAAAAAAATAAGAAGCATAGTTTCAAAACCAAAAAAAAGTAAACCTACACCAAAATTCAAAACCCCATTAATCAAAAATAAAAAGCTTAAGACCATGATTAATGGTAGTCTCTTAAGTTGTTTCTTAGGTACTTAGATGTTTAAAATTAAATGGTTAAAACGTAATGTAGATAAAACCCCATTACAAGATAAAACGTAATGTAGATCACACTTGAATTTGTCTCCTCATTGATACTCTTAGGCTATGGTTTCGAAATACAACTTGAACAAACATAATTGTTACATTAATATTAAAAAGAACATCTCTTGTTAATTGTAACCTTGATTCCATGCTTCATTCTAAGAATTAAACTGGTATCTGGTTCAAACTTCTGCCCTTTAGCAACCTTAATGTCATAGTTTTGTAACATCTCCACCACCACAATCTTCATTAGCATCATAGCTATTTGTTTACCTAGGCATACTCTCGGGCCGGCATTGAATGCTAAGAACTTGAAGGCAGGTACATGTCTCAACTCTCCTGTCTCGGAAATCCATCTCTCTGGCTTGAACTTTAGTGCATTGTCTCCCCATACAGCTCTCATCCTACCCACCCCATAAACAAAGATCAGTATCTTTGAGTTTGCTTCGACTTTATGTCCACTTGGAAGCACATCTGTCTTTAGAGGAGACACACGCACGAGAGGAACCGGTGGGTAAAGCCTCATTGTCTCAAACAATGCAGCATGTAAGTACACTAGCTTGTTTAAGTGCTCCATTGGATCATAAGATAGCCTTTCTTGGCCACTACTACTTCGTGGAAGAATCATGTCAACCTCTTGGCGAATCTTAGTCATCACTATAGGGTTTTCGGACAAAAGCCAGAAGAACCAAGTGAGAGCAGAGGCAGTGGTATCCCTCCCAGCTAGAAGTAAAGCTAGGACATTGTCTCTGAGAAACTTACAAAAGATTCTTCCACGCCACGGAATCTTTTGTGAGTAACGCATCTTCGAAGGCATCAAAAACCTCTTTGAAGTCGGAACCTTTAGCAAAATTGGAGAAGTTTGAGTTTACTAGGTAGTGAATGTTAACTGGATCAGCAGTGAGCAGCATATCCATTCCAGCGAACCACGGCCCCTTGAATGAAAATGTTAGCTCAGTGCTTTCAAGAAGCTCCACAGTGAAGTCAAAAATACGGTGGAGCACCAAGAAAAGACCCGGAATCATCCCAACAACGGGCCTAGGCGGGTTCGAGGATACTCACGGTGGGGTTTGTGTTTGTGACCGGCTCTTGGTTGATGACACCTCAGCTTACCAGGAGCGGCGTAGTGGAAAAGTACATCAACGAGCCTTTGTTTTTCGTTAGTTTCGTTAAGCACAAGTTTACTTAGTCTCTTCGGAATATTTGAATTTTTAAACAGAATCATAAGAAATTGAATTGTTCTCCCAAATCTTTTACACTGACCTATAGAAACAAGAACTAACAATTAAAATCTCTCCTAAGTCTTGTTGTGACATGACGATGATGGAGATGAGTTCCCTGAGCCACCCAAAAACTGAAGCTCTTTCTTGTCATAAATCTCCAACGAAAAATCCCTCAGCGGTTGCGTCGCGCCGCCGTCACCGCTCGTTTCCATCTGCGGTTCAGCAGTTGAGACGTAACTAGACACAGGTCTAGTACCAACGTTCAGAAACGGTGCGGTAGCAACGGTAGGTATAGCCCACATTTGGCCCATTTGATTCGGTCCATTAGTAACAAACGCAGTACCCATACCCATAGGCCAAAACGGCACCAACCCCTGCGTATTAACGTTCATGATATTAACTCCGTAATTTGACGGCGTGATCGGAGCTAAACCAGAAGTAACGGAGCTATGACAGCTGTCGTGTTCGTTAACGTCGACGAAGTCGCTCGTACAGTTTCTCTTCCTCCGTTTCTTCGTTAGGTCACCGTCACCGTCACCGCCGCCGTCATTTGGAGAGGTTGTAGGAATTTTTAAAGTCCCGTTAACCGATACAGCAATAGCCGGTATAGTTCCGGTTCCGGTAGCTTCAATTATCGCCGGTTCAGCTCGTTCCAGTAACCACCGAATGGTTTCGCCGTCTGATTTGTGACCCAGCTCACGGGTCAATTGAAAGATCCGAGCAGCGCAACCCGCGGGCATTCGGATCCTCCGACCACGTCCTTCGACTTTCGTGTGACGGTCTTTAGTCGGTCTCTTCGTAGCCGGTTTGAGCGAACTAGTCGTCGTCATCATCTGCGGCTGCAAAAACCCGACTTCTTCTTTCTTCATGAGTAAACCCGGGTTGGGTTTCGGATCCGGGTCGAATAGATTGGTCATGGTTACTTGGTCAACATTTCCGTCAATCTCTCGTATCGCTTTTCCTTCTTGGTTCGACTCCATTGACCTCAAAAATCGAAAACCCTAGGAAATGTGAATGTGAACGAAACTCAAAATTAGCCAAAGATTTGAATTTTTTTTTCTGTAAAGAAGATAAATTTAAGTCAAGTTTGGTGTTTCTTAGAGGAAAAATGTTATCTTTCGACAGATGAACCAAACCTTAAAAAGTTTGAATTTTTTAGGCAAATTAAAGAACAGTGCAAAAAAACTTTTAGTGGGAAAGCAAAAAAAAAAATAAAGTGAGGAAACCCTAAAAAGGTATAAAAATCAAAATGTTTACAGCTCACCTTATCCTCTGCACGAACCCTACAAAAATGGAAGAAGGGTCCCTCAAAAGATTATCGTTTGATCTTTATACTCTCATATCAAATCAACGGTGTAGATTACATCTTAGCAGCTAAACCAATATGGGCCTGTTTATAGTTTACTAATGGGCCTTGGCATCTCACTCTCTCTCAGAAGTCGAAAGCAATTTCATATATTTATTGATTGTTGAACCGGTTCCGATTTAAGAAGTGAACAAAACCAAATCGAACTGGACAAAACAGAGCCAAAGCTTGGCTGTAGACTTAGACTACTTCACGGCTCTCGTGTTCAAAAACATGAACACCACATCTCCCACTCTCGTTATCTACAAACTCAGAATCCAAAAACCTCGCAACAAAAATCCAAAGCTTATAAACATCTTCGAAATTCGCGAGAAACCCTAACGCGGCAGTGAGAACAGAGATCCCCGGTTCGTTGACGTCTCTGTTTCTTCTCTTTTCAAAAACTCTATCTTTCGCTCCTTCGTAATCTTCTTCGAACATGATGTTCTTTAAGAAACCTTTCCCAAGTGAGATATTGCTGCAACCAGCTAGCTTCTGAACTATGAAAGGTTCGATTTTTTCTCCCTTTTGGTTGAATAGATTGAACGCAACCGCTGGTCCTCGATTGAAATCAACTTTTGGACCGTAGATTTTAACTAGACGACTAGTTGTTGAATGTTTGAGTTTGTGGAGAGCACTTACTAACCAGTTGATCAAGCATCTTGATCTGTTCCCTGTTGCTACCAACCCTAGTGAGTCTACATGATCTAAGCCTTTGTATTCAACACTAGAACTAAAGCTATATGTTTCTTCGGACTCTGTTTGTATCCTGTTTATTTCCAACGCGTGTAATGAAATCGGATTGTCGGTAGGTACGAGGTTGACCATACCTGAGCCAGTGGAAGATTCAAGAATCGGAATGGTGGTTTTCTTTACAAACAAGCAACCGAATCCGGAAGGGTTTTCTCCAAACACCTTGTAGAACGAACACACCATGAAATCGGGGTTATATATCGAAAGACCGAAGCTATCCATATCCTTAGGTCCTAAACCGCAAGCATCGATCATTACATGCCACCCGTTTTCTTGCGCCACACTCATCCATAGGTACGGATACCGAGATCCTGTAACCCTAGAATGAAGAGGAAAGACGAAAATACCTTTCTTCTTCTTCTTCTTGCTTCCGGTTTTTCCAGTAGTGACCAACTTCCTCAGCTTGGATGAACAGATTTTGAGTCTTGGCCATGAGAATTCAGCTGCAGCTACTTTGGCTCCACGTTTCTCAGAGACTCTGTTTATTTCATTCACTGCCTCGCTCTCGTAGTCGTAAACCGTCAAAAGCTTTCGTTTTGAGTTAAACGGGTAAGACTCAGCGACGAGCCTAAAAGCTGAAGTTCTATTGGCGGTGAAGACCATTGAGTAGTCTTCCTCAGAGATTTTGAGAAAACTCATGATTCTTCTCTTCATTGAGTACTCAAATTCTGTTTCTTGACCTCCATCGTTGAGAAGCTTCTCTTTGAGGTTACCGATCTTGGGAGAAACACTGAAGAAAGGACTTTCAGATAAGGAAGAAGAGATCTGGTAAGTGGAAGGGTCGTAGTTGAGCAACTGAGAGTAAGAGTATAAACCAATCCCTATGTAATCAAGACACGTGTAATGTGATAAACCCAAGTGAAAGTAATGGTCGGATCTGATACGGTCGATCTTGTAAGTGTCGGAGTAGTTAGGGTAAGCTTGGATGAAATCAGAGAACGATTCTTGATGTGAAGGGAGAGAATTTGGGTCGGCGAATTGAGTGTCCGGGAAGATGGTAGAGACGGTGGTTTGAGCGAAATTACGGCGGAGAGTGGCGGAAGTGACGGTGGGGGTTGAATCTGACGGATGCTCGGAAGTAGTGGTGGTGGCACCGTGAAATGGTGACGACGAGAAGCAGCCGTGAAGGCAATTTGGTGGTGGTGAATGATCACCACTACATGGTTGTTGCATTTTCTTTGTTTGGTGCATATGATTTATGTGTGTTTTTGGAATTGTTAAGTCATTAGTCTAAGCTTGTACATGTTAAATAAGGCTAAAGTCTTAAAGTTCTTTTAAAGTAGTGCACCTAAGACAAAAGCTTGTTCTCTTGTCTTTTACTCTGTATCTTGTGAATTATGATAAAGAATGATTTTTTATTTAACCTGCCCACTTACGATAACATCATTTTTCGCCTTGAGTACTTCAATGTATAATAGATTTTCTCAAAACTCAATGACCATTCAAATGACTAAGATTTTCATTGCAAATTGTGGTGGTAAATTACATAGCTTACAATATGGTAGCCCTGGGCAAAAAGCCCGTACCCGAAGCCCATACCCGAACCCGGCCCGTTAGGCCCGTACCGAACCCGAACCCGATTAAGGAGGTTACCCGATCGGGTTTTGGTTTTGAAAAAATCCGGGTTCGGGTAAACCCGAAAACCCGATTGTCAAGATTGTAAACCCGATTTCATTCCTTCGTAACTTTGTTGATCGATTTCATTGCCCAGAACTTTGATATACTCGAATCGATTTGAATATTTTCATTCCAAGAAAGATCATAATTCTGTAGTTAGCGAGATCTATGTCTCTCTCTCCCGTACGTCTCTCTCTCTAGCGTTATGTTTATTGTTTAAGAAGAAGGAGTACTCCACAGTCGACATCTTATTTTACTTCTTTTTTTTTTGGCTAATAACAATGGTTTATGTGGGGATTAATATGTTTGAATTCAGTGTTAATTGTTTTGTTTTTTGATTGAGTTCCATTGATGACGTAGCTCGTCGAATTCTTTTGTTTGGTCTGCGATTGATTTACTTGGATAAACACAGTAACTCTCTTTTCCGTTGCTGAGTTTTCTCTGTCTTCTCTCATATATAGATTGCTTGTGCCTCAAAATATTTTCATTTATAATAATAATACATTACGATATTTCAAATTTACATAAATATTTACAGAGTAGTGATCTATGTCTTTCGACAGTTTTTGTTGGTTCACTTGGGTAAATAAACAAACCAAACAGAATCTAAAAGCCGACCACAACACAAGAGCCATCAAAGGCTCTTTTGTCCAGGCATATAGCTTGGAAAGAAGCTTTATTTACAGTTTCTTCAGCAAATATTCTTGAAGGCATAGCTTTAGATAATATATATTAAGAGCAGTGGTTATGTCTGCGACCACAAGAGATTCATCTATTTACAGAGTTCGTGACTTTGCCCTCATGACATTGTTGATGTGATTTTGATTAGCCGTGTGTCTCTTTCGTGTTCCCCATCTTTGTATAGTCTTAACACAGAGATTAATATACGCCTTGGAAACCAAGTTGAGAGATATTAAATATGAATATTTAGAGGATAACTTGTTTCAGGAAATAAATAATTTGCCATGTTTATTTTGAGCGTGAAGTGTTGAGCATGTGTTGAGACTTATGCATTCTAAGCTCATTGTGTTCTAGCTTTAGTTTCTTAGATTCTTAGTTTTATAGTTTTTGGTCACTAGTTTTAGTGAATGGAACTTTGAATTCAGTGTAAATATTGAAGTGTGTGCTCTTATATAATGGAATCGTGTGTTCTTGGTATTGAAGCGTGTATTATTGTTCTTGGTATTGAAGCGTGTGTTACATTATAATTTTTTTTGTTTGCTTCTATTTGGATGATAATTTTGGTGAGATTACATTATAATTTTTTTTTTTAAAGAAAAAATTATTGGTTACTACGGTTATAAGAACCCGAAACAAAACCGAACCCGAACCCGAAAAGCCCGATCCGAACCCGAACCCGCCCGAAAGTATATATATACCCGAATGGGCGTTAAAAGTCTAAACCCGAAAACCCGAAAACCCGAAAAGCCCGGCCCGAGTCCGAACGGGCCCCCGAACGCCCAGGGCTACAATATGGTTTCATGAATGGTTTATCTCCTAATGAAGAAAAAAAAAAACTATATGAGAAAAAGAAAAAGCAGAAGCAAATTGGTAGGGAGTAATGATTAAAGACTGAAAAGTGTAACACTTTGTAAATTGTTTCCCCGAGTTTTATGTTTTCTTTGAACGCGTTGATTTTAGTGGGTACTCAAGAAAGTGTCTTCTTCTTTACTTTTGTTTCCTTAGCTATATTTTGCAATGCTTACATGCTAAGGTATACATTCCAGTATAAACAAAAACAGCCAATACGTCCTCAAGTCAAAAAGTTATGTTTTCATTTGTAATCTTCATCATATATCTTCTTGAGGAAAATTGCCGGAAAAAAAAAATATTAATGCACTAATCCTTTTTGTGAGTACAATTATATTAGCTCTAATTTGTTTATTGTATAGAACAACAAAAAGCTATCAAGAAACGATCAATGTCTGAGTTTTACCGTTCAGAATCGGTTTTATTTTCTTAGACTTTGTTTTTGTTTCATTGTTGACTGTGTTGTGTTGTAGTTTGGTTGTTTAAGTTAGAAGAAAATAACAATGATCTTCTGTTGGTATATCCACTCAAGCTTCTACTTAATTTATAACGTTATCAGAAAGTGTAAATTATCACATCCCAATGTGTTTATTATGTGTTACTATGGAAAAGAGGACATGGTGTGGTCGTTGGTGGGGAGTAGTGTGGAGCATGAGAACCGACGATTATAATGATGGATATGACTCAATTTCACAATTAAGAAATCTTGCTTCTTGAAGAGTATAATTTCTCAAAATTATGAATTAAAACGTCGTGGAGCTGGTCGTATGTAAACTCTTAGGGTAACACTGTGCTAAGATCCCCATTTTCAGTTTTAAGATGATTGAAATAATGTTGGTCTTAGTCTCTGTCCTGATCAGTTTGGACAACCATCCTATATATTACTTAAAACTTTATTAACATGTGTAGCTGATTAAAATAAAGACTCAACCTAAGAAATTCAACTTAACTGATTATTAGAAATAAAATATAAATATACTTGCGTTTAGGCGGGATTTCAGTACCTAATCATTAAAGAAAGAGGAATTTGATTTAAGAACGTGAACGTGACTTTTAATTATTATTAACTCTCAAGAATATGTTAACAACTATAAAAACATATACAAATGTATATTGCATGATGTAGGTGTAAGGAAAAAAAATGTTTATATAGATTTGATTCTATCTTTTTTATTTAAATATGCTAATGTCAAGATTGTAGCATTTCGTCTTCACATGGCGTACAACACATGATTAGTCAATATTTATATGAGGACTTATTATAACTCTTTTCTGATATCACATGCATACCTTTGACTTTTGTTGATATTTTTTTCCTTTTTTTTTTTTGCATTCGACTGTTATATAGGAATAGGATGGTTTTGATTTGTAACATCGCACTGCTGTGGTATAATAATGACCATCATCAACTCATGTATTCATATATTCCGTAATATTCTCGTCGTAGTTTTCATCTTCCATGGCTCTTGTTATTCCGATAAAGGTACAATTCCAATGTGTGATGATCATGATATGTTGAATTCTAGTTATCACTTCAATATTCATGCTTTTTTTTTGTCTTTGTGTAAAGATGGACACTATACATTTATGAAAGATGCAACATTAGCACCAAAGCTAGCTAGTTTCGACTACATAGTCATCGGAGGAGGAACCGCAGGTTGTGCATTAGCCGCAACGCTCTCTCAAAACGCAAGTGTTTTGGTTCTTGAACGTGGTGGCTCACCCTATTACAATCCCACGGCCACTGACATTGGCAACTTCGCTAACACACTCTTAAACAACACACCAGACTCATGGTCGCAGCTCTTTATCTCCGAGGACGGCGTTTACAACACACGGCCACGTGTCCTCGGTGGAGGCTCGGTGCTGAACGCAGGGTTTTACTCACGTGCGGGCGATGTTTACGTGGAGGAAGCTGAGTGGGAGATGGATGAAGTGGAAGCTGCTTACGAGTGGGTCGAGAAGAAACTTGTGTTCGAGCCACAAGTAATGGGCTGGCAAGCCGCGTTGAGGGATGGGCTTTTGGAGGCTGGAGAGTCTCCGGACAATGGTTTCACGTACGATCATATCTACGGGACTAAGATCGGCGGTACGATCTTTGACCATGCTGGTCACAGACACTCGGCGGCGAACCTGTTAGAATATGCTAATTCGGATGCGATTGTTGTTTACTTGCACGCTTCTGTTCACAAGATCCTCTTCACCACCAAAGGTACTTGACTCATCATATTCACATTTGTTTTAGGGGAGTTATCGAATAAACTGATTTTAATCTTTCGATTTTCCAAACCATTTAAAAAAAAACAAAAAAAAAATTGAAACAAAAAACTACAAAAGTCGTTTAGGAAGCAATTAAAAAGTTCCAAAATTAGTTCTAAATTTTTTTTTCCAAAGACCAACATGATTAGTGGGATCTTAACAAGTATCTTAAGCTAAGATTTGGTATAGCCATCATATTTTCCTAAAAGTTGTAATATGTGTTGAGAACAAAACAGGTAGCCAAAAACCAAAAGCGTACCAAGTGATATTTGAGGACGCAAATGGAGTGTTCCACAAGGCAGAGCTATCAAATAACGCAATGAACGAAGTGATCTTGTCAGCTGGAGCCATGGGTAGTCCGCAACTGTTGATGTTAAGTGGCGTTGGCCCTGCAGCCCATCTCGCGGCTCATGGCGTGAACCCACTCGTCCTAGATCACCCTATGGTTGGACAGGGAATGGCTGATAATCCCCTTAACGCCCTGTTCATCCCTTCTCCTCAACCTGTAGAAGTATCCCTCGTACAAGCTGTTGGGATCACAAAGTTTGATAGTTACATCGAAGGTGCAAGTGGCTTGAGTCTCTCTTTTGATTTGACCAGTAGGTTTTTCGATAGTGTCTTGAATCTTTTCAACGAGGTATATAACATAAATACATTTGAACGTTATTGTTTATGAGATTATATGTTATATCTAAATATGACACGTTACGCATGCAGACAAGCCGTACTACATCTAGGGAAAGCCTGACCAAATCTATCGTAAACTTATTAAAACCCTTAGATCTCAGATTGAACGTGATGTTGAAAGGGGGTTTGATAATCCAAAAAATCGATGGACCAGCCTCGAGTGGACACATGGAGCTCCGGAACAGAAACCCGAAGGACAACCCTTCAGTGACATTCAACTACTATCAAGAACCAGAGGATTTGAATAAATGTGTTGAAGGGGTTGCCACCATTATTACAGTTATAAATTCAAAGGCTTTCTCCAAATACAAGTTCCCTGGTGTGACCGCGCATGAGCTGTTAAGTCTCATGTTGAGCCTTCCCACCAATCTGAGGCCGAGGCACTTAAGCTCAATTTTTAACTTGAAGCAGTTTTGCATCGACACTGTGATGACTATTTGGCATTACCATGGAGGTTGCCAAGTTGGAAGAGTGGTTGACAAGAATTATAAAGTCTTAGGCCTTGATTCATTAAGGGTCATCGATGGATCCACGTTTCTCAAGTCTCCGGGGACTAATCCCCAAGCCACGGTCATGATGCTCGGAAGGTGAGCACAAAAACTGAATGATCACAAAATCTGTACATAAGATATGATTGTTGAGCAAAATAATGATTCTTCGAGTGCTATGTTTAGGTACATGGGACAGAAAATTCTTCAAGAAAGGACGGCTTTGCGCGAAAATTAGCAAGAATCCTAAGGTTCTAATTGAGATATGCCCATTAATTGCTCCAATATTCTTGTATTTGGATTGTTACTAGGATCCTCCAAAATATAAAAGAAAAAAAACCCTTGGGGAAGTATACATATTGTATCAATAATTGATGGAAATAGTTTAATTTGCATTTTTTTTGGACCGCAACCAGTGAGGGTGTAATGAGTTTGATTTCCATTCTTTAAATTCTTAGGTTTTTGTTTGTTTTTCCTGTCGATTAGTACATACGAAAAAAGAGAAAGAGTACACGAGAGGACACGAAAGTTAACAAAGACTTTTAAACCACAAATCCTAAGATTTAACTAAAGATTGAAATGGTAAAATATCAAACTGAGAAAATAACAAAAAGGATACAGAAGAAAGCCCAAAAGAATACATAGGAAAGACGTTCACGCTGCATTTACAAGATGTGAAGCTATTTACAAACAAGGATAGTGGTAATTGATTTTGATTATTGATTTATCATCATTTTTAACTCATCTTTGCGAATGAAGACTTCAATCAGTTTTTATATATGTACTGATTAATTATTTCTTTTTCTTAAATTAAGCTTTGTTTAACGAGGCTTTGTACTAAATGGCAAAAGTTGAATGATATGAAAGAAAATAGCAATAAGAGCAAATAAAAATATTTGTTACGTTCATAAGTTTTTGGTCGAGTTTAAATGATTTTACCTTCTTTTTTTTTTTTGGTAAAAAAAAAATGATGATGATGTTCTAGAATTGATGATGACCGTAAAAAAAATGATGACTGTAAATGATTTTACCTTATTTGCTACGAGACAAACGTGCATGCTATTTTCTTACGTATGCATCTAAGAATTGGAGATTAGAGTTTATGATTTTAGGTGTAGGGTTCTAGAATTCGATTTGCTAAATTAGATAAAAACAAATTATAGAAAAAAATTACTCATACCGTAAGAATGAAATTCATACATAATAATATATATTTCTGTTCTAATGTTATTTTCTACTAAACTTTTTACAGAAAAGTAGTTGTGGTTTCTTGAGTTTTTTGCGTATATCTCAATACGAAATCGTTTGGTTGTAAGAAAAAAACCCCATAAATTGGGGAACTAATCAAAATGTGAACAAAGGGCTCATACTTCATCTTGTTATATAGTAGTTTGTTATAATCTCCCAAAGATATAAGTTAAAACATTGGAAATCTGATCTTAAACTGTCCGCAATGGACTTCCATATTTTATGTTTTATTCTCGTCGTAATTTTGACATTCCATAACCCATGTTATTCGGATAAAGGTACGTACAATTATACTAGTTAATGGACGTACATGTTTAATAACATTTATCACCTGACTGTTACGTTATGTTGGTTTATAAACGTATTGTTCATGTAAAAACAGGGTATTACGGATTTATGAAAGATGCAACATTAGCACCAACTTATGCTCGTTTCGACTACATAATCATCGGAGGAGGAACCTCAGGGTGTGCATTAGCCGCAACGCTCTCTCAAAACGCCAACGTTCTGGTTCTTGAACGTGGCGGCTCTCCCTATGACAATCCCGCGGCTATGGATATCGAAAACTTTGCCAACACACTCTTAAACACCACACCTAAAGCTTGGTCGCAGCTTTTTATATCCGAGGACGGCGTTTACAACCATCGTGCGCGTGTCCTTGGTGGAGACTCGGTGCTGAACGCTGGGTTTTACTCACGTGCGGAGAAGTCTTACGTGAAGAAGGCTGAGTGGGATATAGATGAAGTGGAAGCTGCTTACGAGTGGGTCGAGGAGAAACTTGTGTTCAAGCCACAAGTGATGGGGTGGCAATCAGCACTGAGAGATGGGCTTTTGGAAGCTGAGGTGGTTCCATACAACGGTTTCACGTACGATCATATCAATGGGACTAAGATCGGCGGTACGATCTTTGACCCTGCCGGCCATAGACACTCGGCTGCAAATCTATTAGAGTATGCTAATCCGGACAAGATTGTTGTCTACTTGCACGCTCTTGTTCACAAAATCCTCTTCACCACCAAAGGTACGTAATTGTTTCATAATTTCATGCATATATATATATTTTTTAATATATAGTTTGGATATGAAAACTCTGTTTTGGACAGGAAGAGAGAGGCCTAAGGCGTACGGAGTAATATATGAGGACGCTAATGGAGTGTACCACAAGGCGGAGCTTGCGAAAAACGCAATGAACGAGGTTATTTTGTCTGCCGGCGCCATTGGTAGCCCACAACTATTGATGTTGAGTGGTATTGGTCCTAAGTCCCATCTTGAGTCCCACAAGGTGGATCCAGTGGTTCTCGATCAACCCATGGTTGGGCAAGGGATGGGAGATAATGCGATGAACTCTGTTATCGTTCCTTCTCCTCAACTTGTAGAACTGTCCCTCATAGAGGTCGTTGGAATCACTAACTTCGACGATTTTATTGAAGGTGGAAGTGGCTTAAACCTCTCTTGTAACTTGACCCGTAGGTTTTTCGATGTTATGAACGAGGTACAATATAAATACACATTAAAGGTTATTACTCAATCATGCATGAGACTATATATATATGTAACTTTCCATGACGCATAATCATATTATGAATGCAGAATCTCTCAACTCAATCCTTGGATCTTCGATTGAACATTATGGAAAATTTGGGCGTGATCTTCCACAAAATCGACGGACCGGTCTCTAGAGGTTACTTAGAACTCCGGAACACAAACCCAGATGATAACCCTTCAGTGACATTTAACTACTACCAAGAACAAGAAGATCTTGATAGATGTGTTAAAGGACTTGAAACCATTATTAAAGTGATAAATTCAAAGACTTTCTCCAAGTACAAGTACCCTGGTGTGACCGTGCATGAGCTGTTAGGTCTCATGTTGGGCCTTCCCACCAATCTGAGGCCGAGACACTTGAGCTCAATTTTCAACTTGAAGCAGTTTTGCATCGACACTGTGATGACTATTTGGCATTACCATGGAGGTTGCCAAGTTGGAAGAGTGGTCGACAAGAATTACAAAGTCTTAGGCATAGATGCCTTAAGGGTCATCGATGGATCCACATTTCTCAAGTCTCCGGGGACTAATCCACAAGCCACGGTCATGATGCTCGGAAGGTAAAATGCTGATCCCAACTAATGATCATGTGATTCTTGGAGATATATATATATACGATTGTTGAGTGTTATGTGTGTAGGTATATGGGGCAAAGGATTCTTCGTGAGAGAGCTGCTTCTCGAGAAAAAGAGTGTTATTCTTCAATCGTTTCTCCAACTCAAGATGAGACCAGTGTTTCATATTCATCGTCCAAGAAACTCTGAATTCAAAGCAACATAATCAGAAGTGTTATATGTAATCACATTATTTCATAAACAAAAACCGATTAAACCATACTATTAATGATTTTATTTTTGTCCACTATCTAAAGAATCTCTACAATTAGTGGAATCTCAACATATGGTAAAAGTTTTCAAGTCCGCAATCTCAACTTCTCTCACATTTCACTAACCATACTGGGCTTACACTACTAATCCATGTACATGTGCCCCCGAAGACCATGAGCTCTCTAGGGAGATGTTGTACTAATATGGGCTTATTTGGGCCTTATTTGGGCTTACAATAGGTCCAAATAGACGGTTCAATAACTCGAATAAAGTAAGTCAATCGGAATACAAACATATATCAATTAATTAATTCAGGAGATCAAAGCTTTTCGCCATTGCTTTGTTACTCTGCAACGATTGTTTAGGGTTTATCGAGAAGGAGAAGGCGATTGCTAAAAAATTCGACTTTAATGGCTGACGAAGATTACAACGAAGTCGATGACTTGGGGTAATTCTCATCTCATGCTCTCTCCGTCTCCTTATGTAATCGTTGTTTTGTGACTCGATTTCAAAAGATGTGTTCTTCTTCTCGACGAATTCGTAAAAACGATTCAGATCAAATTGGACTAGCTATTGTCTCTAAATTAACAGTTTTTAGACATGGGTTTCTTTCGATTGCTTCGGTTTTGTTCAGCGTAGCATTGATTCTATTCGATTTTAAGGTAGAAACCCTAAGTTCATCGTCGTTTAATTGAGAAAAAGCTATTTTTTTGGTTGCTCTCTGAGCGTTTCGAGTGAAACTAGTGACTAAATTGTAGAAAAATGGGCTATGGGTGAACCAAAGAAGTCAATTTTTTCAAAACTGATTTCGTTTATATCTTACAAATTGTTTGATTACTTTCAATTTGCAGGTACGAGGATGAGCCAGTGGAGCCTGAGATTGAAGTAAGCGAAAGTTTTAATCTTTGTAGAAGAGACATGGATGTTGCATATTATACAACATTCTGTTTCTGATGAGTTTTTTTTTGTTGGGTTCGTGTGTGTAGGAAGGAGTAGAGGAAGATGCTGATATGAAGGAGAATGATGATATCAATGGAGAGCCTATTGAAGCAGAAGATAAGGTTGAAACTGAAGCCGTACAACGTCCACGAAAAACGTCAAAGTTTATGACCAAGTATGAGCGTGCACGTATACTCGGCACTCGGGCTTTGCAGATTAGGTATGGTTCTTTCTTTCCCTTCATGACTGTTAAAATTATGTCCTTATCTTATAGATCTTCATTTTGTTAAGAAATCATCATCATTTTTGTAGTTATTGAGAGTACTTAGTTAGTCTGAGAACAATCTTTGTACTGTTAAGTTTGCTCGAGAAGCTTCATTTTCAATACTGATTTTTTGTCTGGTACAGCATGAATGCTCCTGTTATGGTCGAGCTAGAGGGAGAGACTGATCCACTTGAGGTATGCTACTGCCTTGTTGTTGTTTTCTGACATGTTCTGTATGTCAGTAAAATTAGATATATAAATCAAACGCCTGAGCTAATTTATTATGATTTGGCTTTAGATTGCAATGAAGGAACTTAGGCAACGGAAGATTCCATTCACTATCAGACGCTACCTACCTGATGGGAGGTGAGAATTGCATCAATCTTATCAAAATTTTGAGCTTATATTCTTCTCTTCATTCACTTGATCTCTTCTTTTCTTGTGACTAACTTATGACTCTGAATCAGTTTCGAGGAATGGGGAGTTGATGAACTGATTGTGGAAGACTCGTGGAAGCGTCAAGTCGGTGGTGATTGAGAATCTGACCAGAGAGAAATCTGTATGTTGCTAGCTTTTGCTTTCATATGTTTGTTATATCTCTGATACTTAAGTAGAGCCACAAATAACTGAAACTTATGTGTACTGCCGACTATGTTGTTGGGTTTATATATTCCAAAAATTGCAAAACCAGAAGTCTCAAGTTCAGTAGTTTCCAGTTCGACCATTATTATACATAATAGAAACAGAACATGGACAGATGTAGACATTCAGCCTATTTAAGTTCATCATACATTGATTAAATCAATTCCAAGATCAAGATTTTTCAAAGCAAACTTCTCTAAGTAATATCTTATGAGTCCTCTTCAATCTTTTTGTGGTAAGCTGCTCTCTCTTGAAGAATCTTTTGGCCCATATACCTAATCATAATAACATCAAGACAATCAGTTAACCAAATCTTCAACATATTTTGGATTATTCGATCATTTGGTTTATGCATTTACCTTCCGAGCATCATAACCGTAGCTTGAGGATTAGTCCCGGGGGACTTGAGAAATGTGGATCCATCAATGACCCTTAATGAATCGAGGCCTAAGACTTTGTAATTCTTGTCAACAACTCTTCCAACTTGGCAACCTCCATGGTAATGCCAAATTGTCATTACAGTGTCGATGCAAAACTGCTGCAAATTGAACACCGATGTTATGTGCTTCGGCCTTAGATTGGTGGGAACGCTAAGTATTAAATCGAGCAGGCCTTGTATGGTAGCGTCCGGGTACTTGAATTTGGAGAAGGCCTTGGATTTGATCACTTTAATAATGGTGTTGATCCCGTCAACACACTTCTTTAGATCCTCTGGTTCTTGATAATAGTTGAACCTCACCAAAGGATTATCATCTGGATTTGTGTTCCTAAGCTCCAAATGACCTCTCGAGACCGGTCCAGCGATTTTCTGAAGGATCAAACCGGCTCTGGTGGTCGCATTCAATAGAGGATCTATGGAATTGAAAAACTTTGTAATGGATTGGGTCGACCATGTTGGAGATGTAGCACTAGCAGTACGGCTTGTCTGTATCTTAACACAATAAAAGGAAACAGATTTAACATATAGTTTCATGAATATAAATATAACATATATAGTTTCATTATCTGTATATTATACCTCGTTGAGATAATTCAAAACACCATCGAAAAATTTACGGGTCCAACTATAAGAGAAGATGACACCACTTGCTCCTTCAATGTAACTATCAAACTTTGTGATCCCAACGACTTGTATTAGAGAAACCTCGACTGGCGTGGGAGAAGGAATATAGATGGCATTCATCGGATTGTCTCCCATCCCTTGCCCCACCATAGGATGATCTAAGACCACCGGTTTAATCCCGTGAGCCGCGAGATGAGCCGCGGGACCTATGCCGCTCAGCATCAACAATTGCGGGCTCCCAATGGCACCCGCGGACAAAATCACCTCGTTCATTGCGTTCTTCTCTAACTCTGCCTTGTGTAACACTCCATTTGCGTCTTGAAATATAACTCCGTATGCTTTTGGCCTCGGCCTTCCTGTCCAATACATAAGTTTTCGTGTCTTTAGTGGACGTGGACATATAAAACCGAACCAAATCCAAACTGTTTAGTGTTTCAATGAAACTGAACTGAAATCGATCTTACTCTTGGCTAAAGATAACCTAACCTAATCTAACGATATCTAATATCTCTTTACATGAATATATACGATATTAATCAACTATTTTTGTATTCTTTTAAGCTAATCTTGATTACATGACTACCGAAATTAAAGAGTCCCGTTTCTACAAAACCGATAAAACCAAGAAGAACTGAACCGAAACTAAACTGGATTTGCTTGCTCTTAACCAAATAATAGAACATAGGCAAAAAAGATGTGTAAATGAATCAAATACCTTTGGTGGTAAAGAGGATCTTGTGAACAGAAGCGTGCAAGTAGACAACAATTGTGTTGGGATTAGCATATTCTAACAAGTCAGCTGCCGTGTGTCTATGACCAGCACGGTCAAAGATCGTACCGCCGACCTTAGTCCCGTAGTTATGATCGTACGTGAAACCATTATACGGATACTCACCAGCCTCCAAAAGCCCATCTCTCAACGCCGTTTGCCACCCCATCATGGGCGGTTCAAACGCTACTTTGTTCTCGACCCACTCGTAAGCAGCTTCAACTTCATCGCTCTTCCACTCAGTCTCCTTCACGTACTCTTCTCCCGCACGTGTGTAGAACCCGGCGTTTAACACCGAGCCTCCACCGAGGACACGGGCACGTGTGTTGTAAACGCCGTCCTCGGATACAAAAAGCTGCGACCAAGATTTGGGAGATGTGTTCGAGAGCGTGGTTGCGAAGCTTCCAATATCTGTGGCCGTCGGGTCGTCGTACGGAGCCCCGCCTCGTTCGAGAACCAAAACGCTAGCGTTTTGAGATAGCGTCGCGGCCAACGCGCAACCGGAGGTTCCTCCTCCGATGATTATGTAGTCGAACCTAGCGAACATTGGTGCAACTGTTGCATCTTTCATAAAACTGTAATAGCCAGCTTCACGTAAAAAAATAACGATACATATTAACTCTATAGTAATAATACAAATGTTAATGAATAAATTTATCGTGACACATTGAATGATACGTAATAATAAAACAATACCTTGATCTGGAAAACACAAGGAATGGGAGATGAATGTTACGACGAGAACTATGCGACCTAACCATAATATTTGTAAACCCATTACGGTGAAAGATTATGGTTTTGTTTCTTTATATTTAGATTTAGAGCAAAAAATAAGAATAGGTTTGATGGGGTTTATATAATAAGACGATGCATGAGCCTCTTTTCGTTCTGTACTCTTTATGAGAGAGAGAGGAAGCTTTTATGGTTCACCAACACTTATTTATTGGTCATAGATTCATACAAAGATTTTAGTGTCTTGGTAAAGTTTATAAGAAAATAAAGAAGGGATGTTCTTGTTTCTAGTATGTACTCTAATTACTAATTATGTGAAATCTTTTTTTTTTGTCGCCGAATTATGTGAAATCTTTGCAAGTATATATAAACGAATTTTTCACAAAAATGAACGTTATGTTCGATGAAAGTTCTAAAACAACAATGATGTAATTAGTATTTGTTTATTATCTTACATGTAAAGATCTTATCGCAACCACCTACTAATGACAGTATTCATAAAAAAACTTAGTGCACTAGCTACTTCTTTTTACACACCACACAAAAAATATATATGAAACACATTTTGCATGTATTTTGTAACGATATACGTTTATGTATCATTTTGTATATACTAGTATTTCTAAACTCCTAATCAATTCACAATGTGATATATCTACCCAAGTTCCATAATTTATTACGATATACAAACAAGCAGTTGGCAATGTACTAATGTCCGAAGTAAAGAGAAACATGAGTTAATGAGTTATGCAAAAGCCACTTGCTAATTTTGTTTTTGATTTGAACTCTGATATACTTATTTGAGACTATAACAAGTTGTATAACAACGACCGTCATGAAATAGAAAGAAGATAGCTCCAACTATGGACTGCCCACTACTTTGTTTATATATAAGTGATAAGTTATCAATTCTCTCTTTTAAGTTTTGGTTTATTAAAAACGTGCATTTTAATTTCATTAATTGGTTTTAGTCTATTTAGAGGAATGTTGATAAGTTATGATGGATTTAGTAGTTCGCAGATCTCAAAAACATATCGGGTAGTCGTGGAATAACATCTACCGATCGATCTAGCTAACTTTTTTTATGAGCCTACTTTTTTGTTGCCGGGCCTCAACTTTTTAATTTAATTTGATTGCTTTCCTGTTTTTTTTTTTCCTCATGTTCTTAATAACTATCTTAAAAATTGTTATAATCTCAAGTTGTTTGTTAAGTTTCATGAATTTTCAACTTAAAATCGAATAACAATTAAATTCAAAAAAAAAAAATTCGAATAACAATGAGTGGATTGATACATACATCTTATACAAAAAATATTTTTAATTTAGAGGGATTTGAAAGGTTACAAAAACCGCGATTTACGATTTTTGTAACCATCAAGGTGTAAAATTTTTTCCCTTTGTCTTTGTTTCAATGGGATTAAAAATCATCTTCATTCCTTCATCTTTGGACTTAGTCCAATCCTCATAAACTAAAAACATTAGTTGATAAGTGAAAATTTCATCAAATATCTTAAGTTGAAAGAGGTAGAGTAGGCCAAGTTTTGGGCTTATTATTTCTGAACTTTATCTTATTTGTTGGGCTTGTGCTGGTTTTATAAGCCCATTACGAAATATTATTAAATTTGTAAGTCCATCTTCTTCTTCTTCTTCTTCTTCTTCTTCACTTCCGATTTCTACTTTATCCGATCAGATCAGCGCCGGCGAGAATCTAAGGTAACCTTCTTCACCTCTTCTACCGAACATACTCAGATTCATTTGTTCCTCAATCATCGATTCCAAATTTTGTTTCGATTCGTCCATTTGCTGTGTAGGATTTGAACTTGTTCGTCTATTGATATGATCTTATTAGTAGACTTAGCTACGTTAATCGAACTAGAAATTGAGATTATTTGATTGTATAATCAAATCTGTAGCTTAAGATGTCTAGTTAACTCGATGTATGAGCTATAACCCTAATTTATTTATGTCTGTCTTTGAAATGTGTTTATTGGGTAAAGAAGAAGATGAGTGGTGAAGTTGTATTAGCTGCTAGAGTATACCGTGACCTTCTCAAAGCAGTGGTGAAACATATTGGTAAAGAAGACCACAAGGCTCATTTCTTAGACTTTGTTAAGCAAGAGTTTAGGAAGAATGTATCAAACTCGGAGAAGATGAACCTCGCCCGCAATTACGCGTATCTTCTTAATAGCATTCATTCTCACAAGGTCAAGTCTTTTTTTTTTTTGTTATGATTTGGTCTTAGTCACTTTGGTAGTTGTTACAAAGGAAGCATGATCTATATCTAGCTAAATCAATGTAGTTGTTGTGTTTACACTTCTCTCACATGGATATGTTGTTTGCAGGATTTGCTCTTCTCATACAACATTGCGGTTGATAGAACTGAAGAAATGAAACGCGTGCTTAATAAATCTGCAGCGAGTGTAGGGCTTCGTCTTCCCGAGGTTTACGAGTCTTGATCAATGCATACGCATTCCGAGAGATGAGTTGTTCGGGTTTCTTCATTTCTTTGGACAGATTTTGGGTAAAATTTTGAATAAATGTGATACTAGATAGATGTAGCCACTAGCCAGAGAGCTCTTCTCTTTTAAGATTCTAAGTATTGACATATTGACAACACCCCAGATGTGTGGGTTACAATTTTTGTTGTGTTGTACCGCATTTGTTTTGGCATAGCAATATGCCAATATGTGTATCAAGAACATATTTATGTTCTGAAGCCACCAATGGAAGAGAACTCTGAAGCAATTGCAGATTCTGATATAAAGAAGCCTGCCAAAGTAATGAAAAGATCTTCTTGAAGTATTTCTAGTTTTCCTATAATCAAACTAGTCGTTGACTTTATCAAAATTATCTTTTGATATTGCTAAACGTTATCCAAAAGATAAGAAGACCATCCAAGTCTAGAAAACTAAAAGCTGTTTAGAGGAACTGTTCTGATTATGTCTATATTTGGATGAGTAAAAAGTGGTAAACTAGATTTGTGATGAGAAAATAGAAAGACTAACCATATGGGTTTTATCCTATCCAAAATTTGTAAAAGCCATCCACCGCTAGTGTTTATCTGGTTCTTGTATTTTTCTCTATTTATTTATTTAGTGGAGACTTTGATGCTGACACCTTTTATTTACTTAATCATTCTTTTAAGGCTCTGGTTCTGGTAGCTTTGGCTTAATCTAATAGCTGAGATCAATAGAGAGAGCTTTCAGCTGAGAGTAGCAGAGAAGAGTTATGGGGAAAGGAGGAATGTCTCGCGGAGAAGGCTCAAAGGTTGAAGAAGAGAACATGGCTGCTTGGTTAGTTGGTCTCAATACTCTCAAGATCCAACCTTTTCTTCTTCCTTCCGTTGGTAAGACAATAATTTTATTTGGGATTTAAGTTAGTTGGATTGTCCTCCAAAGCCTTGGAAACTGATAGATTTATGTTCTTGCCAAGGTCCTCATGATGTGAGAGTTAGGATGAAAGCTGTTGGTATATGTGGAAGTGATGTTCATTACCTAAAGGTACTTAGAATATAATCAGAGAGAATCTTGATTCTTTTCTTTGATTTGTTATGGCTCTTGACATTGGTTTTTGATGGGTGTGAATGTTACAAAACAAAGACCATGAGATGTGCGGATTTTGTGGTGAAAGAACCTATGGTGATTGGACATGAATGTGCTGGGATCATTGAAGAAGTAGGTGAAGAAGTGAAACATCTAGTGGTTGGTGACCGTGTGGCTCTTGAACCTGGGATCAGTTGTTGGAGATGCAATCTCTGCAGGGAAGGACGATACAACCTTTGTCCAGAGATGAAGTTCTTTGCTACACCACCAGTTCATGGCTCTCTAGCTAACCAAGTGGTGCACCCTGCGGATCTATGCTTTAAATTGCCTGAGAATGTGAGTTTGGAGGAAGGAGCAATGTGTGAACCACTGAGTGTTGGTGTGCATGCTTGTCGCCGAGCTGAGGTTGGCCCTGAAACAAATGTATTGGTAATGGGAGCTGGACCTATTGGCCTTGTCACCATGTTGGCCGCTCGGGCTTTCGGTGTGCCTAGAATTGTTATTGTGGATGTTGATGAGAACCGTTTATCCGTAGCCAAACAGCTTGGTGCACATGGAATTGTTCAAGTGACAACAAACTTGGAGGTTCTTTACACTGTTTTTATTTGCCAAATCTTTCTGAAACCAGTTGTGATCTGATTGTATAAAGATAAGAACCTATCCTCTTTCACTTTTGCAGGATGTTGGTTCTGAGGTTGAACAAATCCAGAAAGCTATGGGGTCAAACATTGATGTGACATTCGATTGTGCAGGTTTTAACAAAACCATGTCTACAGCATTAGCAGCCACTCGGTGTGGCGGTAAAGTCTGTCTTGTCGGAATGGGTCACGGAGTAATGACTGTCCCTCTCACTCCTGCAGCTGCAAGGTAACCTCTTTTGAGTTTTTACAATAACTATCAAAGCAAGAAACTCTGAAAACAATCGCATGATCCACAAAAGTAAATGTGTTATTTTGAGACAGGGAGGTAGATGTGGTAGGTGTGTTCAGGTACAAGAACACATGGCCTTTGTGTCTTGAGTTCCTGACAAGTGGTAAGATTGATGTAAAGCCACTCATAACCCACAGATTCGGTTTCTCTCAGAAGGAAGTGGAAGACGCCTTTGAAACCAGTGCTCGTGGGAGCAATGCCATCAAAGTTATGTTCAATCTGTGAAAACAATCTTTGCTTTTCTAAGAGTTTTTAAGGTTTCTGTAATAAGAATGCTTCTGTAATTTTGTTATTCAGTGTACATCAACTCTGAATCACTCTTGAATAGATATCCTTTATGACAAATTGACCATACAATCCAAACGTTACAAGACAAATGCTGAAATTGGACAAAAAGGGACCTAAATTCTCCCAATTCTGTCTCAAAGCTCCTAACATGACACGATCTTGGCCACTGTCCATCTCTTCAGACCATGGCTTCTACAAGGAGGACCTCAACAAGAAAGAAACGTTTCAACAGACCCATATATAATGGTACAAGAAAACCGTAGAAAAGAACTCTTTGATGATCGCATCAAACTTTCTCAAGACGAAGCCGTGGTTGGTTCAGTGCACCATTTCCATACTTTGACTTGACCAGTTCCATCACCCGTGAAAAATATGCCCCCGGGACCTATCTGGATTGCCCGTATCTCTTGCTTTGCAAAGATTTTTCCCCTCTCGGTAAATCTAATGAACGATCATAAGTTATCAGAAACAACAAAAGAAGAATTGAAGAATTCAGACATAAAAGTTGCAAAACTTACGATGGTAAGTCATAGAGGCGCAAGGTATTGTCATTGCAAGAGCATAACAAAACTGGCTTGGCTTCTGCATCATGTACACCACATAGAGCTAGCACTCCCTGGATTCCGTTTAGACATGCCAAAGTTTATTAGTTACATTACAAACCGAATGGGACCATAAGAGAGGGTAACACATTTATAAAAGTAACCATACATGTTCTTCTTTGTGAGTGTATGTTACTTCCAAGTTGCCACCTTCCATTGCAGCCCATATCTACAGCAGAAAGACACATCAACGAGAGAAGAACGAAATTTCCAAGAAAGTTATGAAGTTGAAGAAAGAGGAATTAACCTTAACCGTGTTGTCTAATGAACATGACAAGAGAAACTGATCCCAGCAAATGAGAGACATCACAACTGATGTATGATCCGTGAGTGTTTGTATACATTGCAGATTATCCAGGCTCCAAACCTGTTAAACAAAGAACATGTAAACCAAAAAGATGAGCTGAATTCAAACGAACAAATAGAAAAGGGAGTTTAAATTTCAAGGATCATAAACAATACAAGTACTTACTTTTATAGATTTGTCCATAGAACCCGAATAAAGTCTGTTTGCCCCAACATATAATGTAACAACTGCAAGTGTGTGGCCTGTCAGTGAAGCCGCCGGTTCAAAGCAGTTGGTGGCAGTATTAAATCTCCATGCCAAAATAGAGCCATCCTGAACAGAAAATAAAGAATTTGTGAATTACTTACAAAAAGCTGACATATTGGGCAGAGATATCAGCAAAAAAAAAAAAGCACTTGGAATTTTACCTGTGTACCAGCGAAAAGAAGATCAGTACCCACAACGAGAGAATATACTTGGCCAACAGGTCCATTTAGACTCAGGTCTGCATTGGTCTCAATATTCCACGCCTGCATAAAAAAAAACACAATGAGATATAACCCAACAAGCATATAGGAATGAAAGGGATTCCTCGATATGTATTGTGATAGTCACAGAAAAGTACTTCTATAAGAGGAATCATACTGAGAACTTGCCTTGACAAGATTTGGCATGCCAACCAATAGCCACGGGCCTTCACTAAGCACACAGCCAACTTCCCCACCAAGTTTAAGTACTCCTGTACACTAATCAAAAGAGAAAACAACAAAATCCACCATAAGTAAACTTGATCAAGTCTTTCACAAGTTCTTTTCCTAATTTGACAACAAAGACACCAGTTGCCATCAATATATCCATCTATGCTCATTACTCTACTTGCGACAAATTACATCCTTTTGAGTCACTCTGCATCTTAACCAAACACTGATAACTACTGGAGTTGGATAGTAATACAACAAGATTGACAAAAAAATTCATTCTCTTACGCTACTCTACATCCTAACCAAACAAATCTATCAGAGAGGTCAGCTTAAAACAAAAAAGGTCCTCTGAGCAAACCATACCTGTCCAGAAGCACAATCCCAAACACGCAAGGTCTCATCTTTACTCCCAGTATAAAGCTTATCAGACCCCGAAGGCAGAGCAATACCACTAACGAGCTTCTCATGACCATCAAGCTGAGTTAACAACGAGAAGCTATCCCCTTTACTCCAACAATGCAAGTATCTACACTTATCACCATACGAGCAATTCCCATCTACCCAAAAGTTGCAAACTTTCTCCGTCTTGGTCACCGTTCTGTTCCCACCAAATCTCCCCCAACTACTATTCGAGTTCCCGTTAAACCCAGGTCCTCTCCGATGACTCGGACCCGCAAAACCAGATTCCTCAGCTACCCTTTTGTTCGTATAACCCGGAGCACCCTGACCCTGACCAGGACCAGGACCCGGTAATTCTCTATGTAGATAAGGGCAAGGAGAACGATTACAACGCCCAGCTCGCCAGTGAAAGCAAACCTTTTGTCTTGTATCATTCGGTGCCATCGGACGATTTGACCCGCCGCCTCCGCCACCGCCGCCGAGTCTATTGAAGACTCGTTTGTTTCCTCCGTTCAAATCAAAATCCATATTTTTGCCTCTCTCTATAGATTAAAACAACAACAGCGACGGATACAAATTAATACAAGACTAGAAATTTTGAAATAAGGACTTAGTTCTGTAAGTATCGGAACGGATCGGTGGCTGATTCAAAAACCGATCAAAAATCAAGCGGCAAAATTGGGAGAAAACCCTAGAAATTATTACCAAAAGAATCTCGAACAAGTAGTGTAAAAGTTATAGAAAAAAAAAAAAATTTGGGATTTTGTTGTGAATGTGTGAAGTTAAGCAATGGAGAGAAAAGAGAGAAACTTGAAGTGGATTTGGGATTTGGTTTATAAGCTTTTGGATCTTCGTGGAGCGGACAGAACTAGTAGAGAGAGAGAAGAAAGTGAAATACCAAACCAGTCGCGTCAGCTTGACGACAATGTTTAGTTACCTTTTTAGCCCTAAGATGGCTCTATTTTACAAAATTGTTTTATCTCGGTTGAAAGTTGAAACCGGTTCTGATTTAGACCGGAACAATCAAAACCGGTTAATTTGAGAAACAAAGAAGTGTGATCTTTGGCTTTTTGTCAGTTGGTCTGGGAGTGATAAGAGCAAAATTATTGATAGTCTCTTAATATTAGCTCTTAACATTATTAAAAAGCTAAGAACATCTAAAATATGTTAGGTTTATCTCTTAATTAAGAGATTTTTTAGTAATAAAACATAATTTTCATCTAATTAGTTATATATTTAAGCTAAAAATATTCCAAGATACTACCATTAAAGATGGTCTAAGGTTTTGAATTTTCTATACTATTTTTACAAATTAATATTTAATATTTATTTTACATTATCAAATGTATATTAAAAACGTTTAATGAGTTTATTTCATTCACCACTGAAAAACAAACTCAAGGCACCCACGATCCTTATATACACTAGCTATGCTCAATGAAGGGTTTGTGAATCTAGCCGAGCCAAGAAACCCCAAAACTTTCTCAACTCAAAGAAAATGACATTTGAGGAAGAAAGATAGTGAGTGGGACTTGTTTTATTCTCCAGTGTTTTTGCTTAGTGGAGAAAGAGAGATGCATGATTTGAGCAGTGTCGAGATCTGGCCTTTACCACACAAAGCGTAAGAAGTTGGCAGGAGCACAGAACCACATATATAGAGATGCTAAATTAGTCTAATGGTCAAGGGCTCAAGGCTCTCTCTTACTCAATTTCTCCTTCCACGTGTTTGAAGAACTAATGTGTAAAAGATTTCCTTCAATTTTAAATTCGCATAAGAATAAGATGATGCTACTAATAAAAAAATGTGATTGCACCCTTTTTACTACCAATGTGCACGTCAAACAAACTCACACCTCCATCGACCTGATTCTTTAAACAGAAACAACTAATATACGACGAATACTTTAATACCCTACGTAGGGTATTACTTGGGAAATTTGATCAATATAACACACTTGTCATTTCCAGAATATTTGATAGTAGTATATTTATCTAATGATTCTAAACCAAGAGAAATGTATTCACAATTTGATCAACAACAACAACTAAAAACAAAACATTCTAAAGATATATAATATGGAATTATTAAACTTTTGGTACCAAAAAATCAGGTACGGAACTACGGACCAATCTTAGAAGTCCAAATAATCTCTAACTAAATTATTATTATTCAGAAAATTACAAAAATTAAAACATTAATCGCCAAAACTCCATAGGTGTCCGCGTCATTATGATTCTATTTTGACACATCAAATACTCTATCCACAATATTCAGATGTACAACTACAACACACCAAAATATTTTTAAAATTGATTTTTTTTAATTTGATCAACATCTTGTTACAAAACAAAACATTTCAAAGAATAATGACTAATAATAAAATATACGACTTAATACTTTTAATACTCCAAATTTTGGTACCAAACCATAAAAACTCAGGTACGGAACTACGGACCAATCCTAGAAGTCCAAATAATCTCTGACTAACTTATTTTATCCAAAACCAATCGTTTATATATGTAAAAAACTAATCGTTAAAGTTCCAGAGTGACACGTCACCATCACCGTCAAAGTCGTTATGGTTCCAGCCAAGTTCCGGCGGCGGCAAAAGCATCCCCTCCGCCATGTTCTCAAAAAACTTGGGAAACCCGAAAACATCCTCTTCATCCATAAAAAAAACACCACTCTGACTCTGCTCCTCCACCATTCTCTCCCCTTCACTCACAGCCACCTCTCCCTCAACCACCGCAGTTTTCGATCCTTCCGTCGTAACACTCTCATTCTGAAACGCCATCGCAGCCTCAGCCGCAGCTTTCTGAATCTCCTTAGGACAAGTAGTCTCAGGAATACGAAGCCGCCACGCAGAGTCAGCGAAATTGAGACAAGCAGAGCGACCACGTAGAGCCAAAGCAGCAACGTCGTGAGCACGAGCAGCCATTTCAACCGTTGGAAACGTACCTAACCAAATCCTAGATTTCTTGTTAGGCTCTCTAACTTCACAAACCCATTTCCCAGAGTTCCTCTGACGAACTCCTCTGTAAATCGGATGACGCGTCTCACGAAACTTCTTCCTCCCAGCTCGTTTCTTAGGACAGCTCGAAGCTAGCTTTGGTGAACACTCACTACTGTCTGAAACCGGAGACCTATGATCAGAGGAGATTGAGAGAAACGAGTCCGAGAAAGCAGAGCTAAAAGGGTTCATAATGGATAAGATATTTAATTTCTCTTTCTATGTGTGTTTCCGGATTTCAGATGTGTTGGAACTTTTTGGGATATTTTTATTATTACAGAAAGTGTGAAGAAGGGTTCTGTCTTTTCTTTTATTTTATAAGGAAAAAAATAACACGGAGGGTTCTGGTGAAGACAACTGTCCCACGGTATTTGGTTGACACGTGTCGTTCTGAATCACTTTACTTAGTCCGAGTGTATTGTGTACTGTGTCGGTTTTGTATTCGATAGTTCAGTTTGGTTATGTTCGGAGGAAGGGGACGATTTATAGAAAAAGACAAAAGAGGCTTTCGTTTTAATTTTTAAAAAGTGAAAGAGATAGGTTGGGGATGACGTCACCAGGACACGGTTTTGACAGTTGGAGTGTAAACTGCTCGCTTTTGGTTCGAGAGGTGAGCCACGTTAGAAGGGACGGTGCGTCCGCTGTCGAGCCACGGCTTTGTGTTTTTTTTTCACGCGTTTTTGGGAAATATTTGTTTTTGGAAATCTTTTGGATTTTTTGTCTAAATGCTTATTTTTGGAAAATTCTTTTTGGATATTTTATTCTATGGACTTCTTCTTTTAGATTTTATTTTATTTTATAGTAATCATTTCTTCTTTCGTTGAGTCGAACATATTTATTGTTATTAAATATGCAAAATTTTGTGTACGTGGCCAAATGTTGTGTTTCTTTTCATTACTTGTAACCTTTTCTGGAAACTTTTGTTTATTGAGACACTAACTTCGGTTTGGTTGGTCGTTTGACGATTTTTTTGGTCTCATAAACAAAACAAAAAAAAAAGATAATTCTGAACAAATTGGTTTCTAATGAGGTATCATTCTTAATTAACTTTTGATTAGTAAAATAAAATAAATGTGATTCATCTTATAATTAGTGTTTAAGAAAGTAATGGAAGACGGTGATTAAACACTCAATGCCCATAATGTTTAATAAGGGTCTAAATGATTTTAGACGGTTTAGGCGTTTACAAAATAAAATATTTTATATATAATATTATGGATAAAAATATGTAAAAATATATATTTGAGAAACAAAAATAGAGAAAAACATATATTTAATTTAAATCAACATGAATATTTTATAACTATGTATATGGATATAAGACTTATAAATTAAACTAGACGAAATTAAAAACTATAAAAACATAGTTTCTGAAATTTTAGGCGGTCGTCTAGACATCGGCTAAGTTCTTGACGCCGGGAAAATAGCAAAAATCAACTCAAATTATTTGCTGGCGGTATTTTTATATCAAAACTACGACATATGTTCCTACCTAAAAAAATTACGATATCCGACAAATAATAACCTAAACTCACAAAAAATTCAAATTCTCATCCTAAACTATATGAAATCAGTCAAAATTAACATATACCGAAACGGAGTTAGTTAACCACTTAACGGCGATGACTCAGCCGACAACGTGGCAATGCCGGAACATCAGAGTTGAGTAATATGACATCGTCTCGTGAGTTTAGGGTTCTCAAATTAAAAAATTGCTAAACTCCGATGTGAGATCAGATGCCCGTCATTGAATTTTAGTAAAGTTTCAATAAACCTTTCAACTCTGATGTGAGATCAGCAAAGATATTTCAAAAATTTGAGTAAATTTTCAATAAACCTTTCAACTAAAAATAAATAAACCATCAATTAGACGACGCAGACTCCATCAACGCTTGTGTATCGACTCTGTAAACAATTGAAAATCAAGTCAAGTCCTACAATGATGGTTCTCGATTCACTCTTTGAGTTGGCCTCCAAAGCTGCAAGTTTTTGGTTCCATGTCATATAGAGTTTTTGCCTCCAAAACAATGTGGTTCATGTTCTCATCCTCCTCTACAAGCCAATATGTCTCCAGAATCTTCAAAGCCTTCTCGCAGATCACAATATTATCGTCGCTTTGCAGGTTCTCAATCTTTTCTAGCCCTTCCGCACCTTCAATCAGTAGAGCATAACAGTTCTTGTCTTCTGTCTTCTTTGCAGCCTCTCCGGTCTTCAAAATGTTTTCCAACCCATTCAGACACTTTAAGATGGTTTTCATATCTTCACATACTAGGATATCACATAAAGGTTTTATGCAACTCTGCTCCACCATGTATCTGCATCACACCAATGGAGATTGTGACTTGATGATCTATAACCAATGACAAAGAGAGAAGGCAAGGACGTACTTGATTTGATCATGAGAACCACTTAAGGCCACATTTGAAATTGCCCATACAGCTTCTTTCTTCAACTCAAATTCAGTATTTTGAGCCAGATAAACCAAGGTTGGAATAAAATTTGCATCAATAACTGTCTGTAATCACCAATGGGGGAAAAGAAAGAAAAACAAATATAGAAAAAAAGAATTAGTGATTGCCAAAGATTAAGGATATAGCAACAAAAGTTGCTCACCTGAATTTGTTCTTCTGTGCCTGCAGTGATGTTTGAAATCACCCAGCAAGCATGCCTCTTTATGTTTTTCTCATAGTTTCCAGTAAGCAAGTTTGAAAGAATGGGTAAAGCACCACAATTTATCACACACTGAGAATAAGTTCAAAGAGGAAGATTCAGAGCCTAAGAGTAGATGTAAAACAAAGCATTGTGTTGTTTGGTTGCATTCAAGATACTAATACAACTTACATACCTGAGTATGCTGATTATTTCCAGCAGCTATAGCCCCAATGGTACGAACTGCAAGAACAAGTATTGCAGGAGAAGGGTGTCTGCAAAAGAAAAAGAAAAAATGTCAGTCTTCCTTATCCAAACATGTCACAGAGGCTTGAATATGTTTTGAGAAGTACTAACTGGAGAAATTGAATTAGTTTTCGGACAAAGCCAGCCTCAATCAAACTTTGGATTCCATCTTCAGAACCATTAGACATATTACATAGTGTCAAGCAAGCATGTTTCAAGACTTCTTCATCATTTGACTGAAGAAGTAGTTCAAGTGCAGGGAGAGCAGGTTTCACCTGTTGAATCATACTCACATAGGTTTAAAATCATTGGACATATACAAACAGAGGAAACAGAGAAAGAGAGTGAGAGAGAGAAGTAAGAAGACCTGCTCGAAGGCGGGTGAAGGCCTGCCACGACACAAGTTACACAAAGTCCAAGTGGCAATCCTGAGCGTAGTATCATTGTACAGCAAACGCAACAGTGGCATCAATACTCCACAATGAAGAACAATATCACGGTAACGTGTTGAATGGCCAGCAAGATTATTCAGTGCCCATATAGCCTACAAGAATAAACTTCAAAACTCAGTAACTGTAACAAATCATTCATATCTACTAGTAAAGTAGAATACACTTACCTGCTCACGGACATAATCTTTAGGAGAAGCAAGAAGGTGAATTAAGATTGGAACAGCTCCGTGACCAACGACCTCCTCCGGTTTTTCAGTAGCAAGGTTTGTGAGAATCCAAGCTACCTCATACTAGAAAAGATCATTGTTAATATATTGGAATCAAATATCATCAAAAGATATTAACTTTGGTGGGTAGGGACGTTTTCTTCTAACTTGAAGCTTAGGGAACTCTTCCTTGCAAAGAAACTGAACGAGACGATGCAAAACTTCAGATCGTATCACACTTTCAGAAGGACGAGTTATATCTCCTGGAAGAAACATTCGAGTTAATGATAAAAGACAAATCTTTCAAAATCTAGATATCAGGAAAAGTAAAGAGAGAGAGAAGAAAAAAAACAGAGGAAGCGTTTCATTACTCTGTGATAGAATACTTCTGATCTTGGCAGTGGATTCAAACTGCAATGAAGGATCATCTGACCAAACACCATCGATTATAGCTTTTGATACTTCTTCCTCCTCCTACAGTAAAGATTCCATCAATCGAAACCCTAAAACCAACACAAAATCATCACTAGAGAGTGATTACTTGTGAGATAAGTTTAGACAGACCTCTGTTCTCAGCGACATGGCTTTCTCCTCTCCAAAAGAAATTTACAGAAACTTGATAGAGAAACCGTAAAAATCTCAACTGAAACGTGAAATGAGGCAAAGATTTATGCAACTGAGCAAGAATACAAAAGAAAAAGATAAAATGGTCAAGGAGCCAAATAAAACAGATGAATTTAAACGAGGCGAAGAAAAACCAAGGTTTTTGTATATCAATCCAGTCTTCTAAACCAACCAAAATCAACGTTTCATTTTGATTTACTTTCAATTTATTCGGTTTACTCCAACCCCCAAATTTTCAATTTGTTAGGTGTTGCAAACAGAGAATGATTAGCATCATCATTTCAACAGAAGCAGATCATATTACCTTCTCAGCGAGATCTAGCTTTATCTGCTTCCCAAATTGTAGTTTGTCAATCGAAATGAACTTTTCCGGGGTTTCAGCGCCGCGCCGCCATCGGGATTCGAGGGTTTGAGAACAAAGATTTATGAGTTTACTTATAGCTGCATTTTGATATGAATCTCTACAAATTGTACTTTTAAGTGGGGATTTATGGAAAGTTGGAGAACTCATAAATGTCTCATAAACCATTTATGGAATTTGACTCTCACACTCACTCTTTGAGTTTGACTCTTCATTCAAAGTTGCAAGATTTTGGTTCCATGGAAGAGTTTGTTGTGTCTCCTCCTCATCTTCTTCAGGTCAAACCTTCATAGCCTTCCCTTGGATTTCATAGTGGTTGCGAGAATCGTAGGTTCTCAATCTTTTCCACCCCTTCCACGCTATCAATCAGTTGGTAATAGATAGTTTGCATCTTCGGTGTTCTTCTCTGCCTCTCCGACCTTCAAAATGTTTTCCAATCCATTCAAACACTCAATGATAGCTCTAATCTCTGGACATACCAGGAAATCATATACCAGGCCTCAGTCACAAATCCTAGATTCGATAATTTACAACAGCCCTTAACGAAAACTGAGACAAACCATTAGTTTTCAGAAAGCAACTCATACCACTATAATGAACTTGACTTTGGCTTTACCGCATGAATGAATGCACAATTATCTTGGCTTATGTTAAGAATGGTTCTGCTTTTCATTTCAATTACATCAACCAGAGCTCTTTTGAACTCTAATAGTTCTAGATTAATTCGTAGACTCAAACATCATGAATCAGATGCCAAGGTCATCGTCACTATCATCATCACTACCACTCAACGCAAAGTCTCCTTCATCCTCCACCCACTCATCTTCCGAAAACGCAGACACATTAAACCTCCCAAACCCATCACTCTCCACCGTCATCTCCGCCCTCTCATCCTCATCATACGACAACGAAAACAGCTCATCCCCACCAAATCCCACCTCACTCTCCTCCTCCTCAAACTGTGGTCTCTTCCCCGGAATCAAATCCTTCTCCCCTATCTCTCCCTTCTCCACACCAATCCAAGGCACCCACAAATCAGCATGCCTTCCCAACGCCCTATCCCTATCACTAACCACCAATGTCCCAAGATCAGCCTCCCTAGCTTTTCTCAACATATCTGAAAAATCCTTATCATCCGAAACCAAAACCAACCAATCAATCCCTCTAGTCATCGAATGCTGTATTTGTCTCTTCACCGCCCAATCCGCCGCTTGTGGCTTATCCTCCACAGTCTTCACATAAACCCCTGCTCGCCGGAGCTCCGCCTCTAAACCATATCCAACTTTAGGAGTCAACAACCTCCTCGCTGCTTCATTATACTTCTCATTCCCTGAAACATAACGTTCTTTAAACTTCTGACGCTTCTTACCTTTCAAAGATCTCATCCTATTCACTTTCTTCTGTCTCTCTCTTTCATGAAGCTGCTTGAAATGTTTTTTCAATTCAAGATTGGTTTTACACTTCCTCCCACATACTCCACAGATGTAAGGCTCAATTGGAGTCACTTCTCCTTTTCTCTCCATGAAATCAAGATTCCTCCTTTCACGTCTCTCTTCGACGACCCAATGAGGTAAATGGATAAAAGCATGACGATTTGCGTAAGCGGAGATCTCAACGACTCTGCCGAGCTTCTCCGCGACTTTACGGAGAGCTGTTGCTGCTTCGAACGGTGGACCTCGTGGTGGTTTGTTGTCTAAGTCCCACAAGACTACAACTTTCTTCTCCTTTGGAGCAAAGACACCTTCTTTGTTCCTCACCAAATCGATTTCTGACGAAGATGCTGATTTCAGACATGATGTGATCGGGCGTAGACGGCGAAGTGGGAAGCTGGGGAATTTAGGGTTTTGGAATTTGGAATCAGAGAAGGTAAAGAAGTGAGATTTGTGAGAAAGGAAGGGTTTTGGATAAAGGGTCTCAATTGAATTACAGAACAAACTCATTGGAAGCTTCCGGAGAGGAACCAGTGACAGTGAAATTGGCGTAGGTGATTGGTTGTTTTGGGAGATATTGATTTAGGTCTCGTAGACGCGTATCATAGAGATGGTGGTACCTCTGGTCCGGAGAAGTTTGGGTGAGGATTGTTACCTTAGCAAGTCCGGCGAGGAAGACGACGGCTGTGAGGATATGCTGCTTAACAAAAAGTATTATCCTTTGGTTTTATTGTTTGAGAGCCTCTAATTGGACTAGAAGGTCTTGAAGGGGAGAGACTTTTTCCTTCTTTTTCACTTACATCTCTCAAACAAAAATAAAATTACATAGGATAAATTATGCTACTCTAGGAATGGTTTGGTATTAAGATTTGTGTTTTAGTTGTGCTTAAATCGAAGTTGTGTAACGACAACCTAAGAGATTTTATATGTGGTGCCCAAACCTAAGACAAAAGTGATACTAAAAAAAACTTTTAAGATAGTTGTAAAACCAGTACAAGTTTATTCAAAGATGTGAGACTACTAAAGATGCATGTGAAACATTACATAAACCACTAATCTTAAGAGGAACATAGTGGACATGATGGTATCTCTCAATTTGAAATCATACGGGTGAGTTGTCAGTTGTGTTCTATAACAAGTGACGGACAAATTCTAGGCAGTAGGCAAGAAATTGGTTAAGAAGGTTTTGAGGTATCTTTATGCAAATTTGAATGCACAAAATGTTATCATAAATGTTGCAATTGACCCACATAACATTAGAGTTTGAAGAAGTTATTATCTATATACATGCACAAAAGGTTGTCAAACATGATATAAATGGTTTGATAGCTGATAAAGATGTGCCCATGTGTGTGTGGTCTGATGTTTAAGTTCCAAAACATAAGATTTCTCCTCTGCAGTTATTACATCACACAGTACTATGTTGCATTTTCAGATTTTAAGATTACCAAAATGGATCAGTTACCACAAAAAAATTTTGTGTTGTTTCTAGATACTTCTATATACAGTATATCTTATATAATATAACAAGGTTTTTTCTAACTTTTCACTACGTTACGACATTTGACGCTCTCTATTGATGACATGTGTCATCTTTTATTTTTAATTAATTATTTTCATTTTTATTTTTAACTAAAACACAATATTTAACTCACACTTTAATATAAGAACGAAATTTCTCTACTCAATTTTATTCAACAAAAAATTAATAAGAATTAACTCTCACAATTGTTGATTTACTATATTTCTCTACTCAATTTTATTCAACACAAAATTAAAAAGAATTAACTCCCAAAAATGTTGATTTACTATCACATAATTAAAGTGAAAAAAGAACATAGTATTTTATAATAAAATAAATCATATATATATATATATATATATATATATATATATAAGTAAGGTTTCACTATCTTCTTATTGGACTATTTTTATATAATTCTTTTTTAATTATGTTTTCAACTAAACCAAAAATAAAACACATTTAGTTATATATATATATATATATATATATATATATTAAACTCACACTTTAATATAAAACTGAAGAAAAAATTATTTTAATTAAGGCACAAATAAAAAAAATTTGATCATATATATTTATCTCACACTTTAATTTAAAACCAAAAAATATATATTCAATTAAAATACAATTAATTATATACATTTAACTCACACTTTAATATAAAAACTGAAATAATATAAATTTGCATTAACTATATTTTTCTACTCAATTTTAGTCAACACACAATTAATTAGAATTAACTCCCAAAACATTTTCTTCTAAATTGTAACTCTCATCACTTCTCATCTTATAAATACTCATTCTCTCATTCTCTCATTCCCTCCTCCTCTTCCACTTTACCTCAAATATTCTATAATTTTGTTTGTTTGGTTTTGTGTTTTTTTTTGTTGGTTGTTTGTTGTTGTATGAGCTGAAAAATAAATTTAAATACCATTGTAAAAGTTTAGTCTAAATTTTAATTTTTAGACAC